AAGTACCAACTAGATTCACTTTCTGATCGAACGAGGTACTGAAGTAAAAAATCAAAGCACTTTTACTGCCCCAAAACGTGATGACAGACATAAAAAAAAACACACACATCATGGTAAAATCAACACATTCATCGCTCCGCTCAGAATCTAAAATGAACCATACAAAGAAAAACTTACCTTCTCTCTGCAGTAACATTTAATAACGAGGTAGAAATGATGGAGCTGATAGAGACTAAGGACGTTCATCTAACGAAGTCGAAAAACAACAAACAGTAAAACATTTTTACTATTACTTATTACTTTATTAGATTAGAATAGGTACTTATTCAATTCTTATAAAATGTCTCATTCCCACCATAAAAAAATCCAACAAGCTGAACAAACCCATTAACATTATAAAGTGAGGTATATAATATTACATAAACACATAAAATGTATAATATATGCTGTGGACAATGTTATCGAGAATTCGAATATAACCTTATGTCCGTCAAAAACTCACAACAATAGGAAAAAAGGTAATGCATAATATAGCACAGGGAATAGGTAGGTATTCGCAATTGACGCAGCTGCAGTCTGTGTATCCGGGACCTGGATATTACCTGGAAATTAAATTTTAGGTTTTTTTTTTTTGTGGAATCGTATAACAACTATTTTAGGTTTTAACAAAATGATCGACTACACCTAATAGATCACAGTAGGAAAAGAACACTTTATATTACATAACATTAAATACCTATTACCTATGATAGGTGAATAAACGCAAATCGTGAAAATAATGACGAACACAAAAAGCGCCCCACATATTAATAAATAAATCAAAATAGGAAAATAATTATAAGATTCAACATACATAATATATAAGGACATCCACTAGTGAAATAATATTTATAGGTGCCCTTCTGAAGAAATGCATCCAGGGACTTTTAAGTACCAGACCGACACTGTTCACTGTTGAATCCTATTAATAAATTATGTTTGAGCCTGATAATATGTGATATGGACTACCATTCAATGTTTTTTGTGTTATAGTTTCCTAGAATTTGCAGAGAAAACCAACAGATTCAATTTGCTTTATGTTTTTAAAGGGTATAGATAGATATCTGGTTCAGTCCTATACGAGATACGACTATAATATACGAGGAGACACATGAGCGGGATGTTGGTAACTATAGTGAGAACGGACGGACGGAGCAATATTGGACAGGAGTTCAATGTTAAATTTTTCTTTGTAGACAGTCGACAGACAACACCGACAAGGCGACAACATCAATGCTTAGGCATCATTGTACTACACATATCTAAATTTTAACAAACGAATAAAATTTAAATAAAAGCCAATTTTTGAAAAATCCATTCTGCAGGCGTGTTAAATTTCAGGGTTCCAAACTTCCAAAGTATTAATTTAAATAGGCTTAACAAATTAAATCCAATATTAAAATCTTCCATATTATTGCTTTTAAAATTTGTCAATGAAATTAAATACAACTTATTCCAAATTATTGATTTTAGTTAATATTACGATATATTTCAAATGGCTTTAAATGTCATAATATAATTTTAAGTTTTCTGTATTAGATAATAATAATATGTGTTACGTTACTATAAAAATGTAGAAACTATTTAACTTAAAAGCAATACTATACAATTTATATAATATTGTAATAATACCGTATGATATATTATAATATTTATATTGAATCAATAATRTAACATTGCCAATGGATTTTATAAGCAGATAGAAAAAGCGTATAAGGTACCTATTCTTATCCAAAGTAAAGACATCTAATAATTTGATTTATTTTGTTTGTGATGTTAATATAATTATTTAAAATTGTTTATAAAATAAATAGTATTATATGAAATCAAAATCTCTTTATAATGAATTTAATAATAATACAATTAATATGAATAAGTATAAGGAGAAATTTAATTCATATTAATCATAAAACATTATCCACAAATTGAATCACTAGTTTGATCTTGAAATCTAGATTAGTGTGTATGTTCAGATAAACTGAAGGTTGCTGAATACATATTGATATTGGATTACATATGTTTTCAGACCACGCAGGTATGTTGTGTGCCCGCTTCCAGATTTGAATAAAGATTCATAAATCATAAGTGTAGGTAAAGTTTTTAATTGCGCTCATGTGCTGGAACATAGATAGTAGTATATAAATGGTATAGATACTATATATGTAACAAGTGAAGCTCAGCCGCTCAGGTGACGTGCCTCCTGTGTCCCATACTAAATGCCTGATGACAAACTATTTGTCCTAACCTTTTCAATCATCGCACAATGTCGATCAACGACGTACCATGACATGTGTAGTGTATAAATGATATTGAGAGAGCCGATCTGTAATTTTTTGTTTAATATTTTTTTAGATAACTATCACACTATGAATCATATTAACTAAACAATGAGCAACATAAATAAGATATTTTAAATAAAAATGTAATTTAATGTTCCTATTAGTTATTTGTACCAACTAAAACTTAACAAACCAACAAATATAATATATTATAAGCAATTATTCTTAAAGGAAATTTTATCTAGTTACATTTTTGATAAAATTACAAAAAAATAAGGTTTTATTAATTTTGTTGTAATTTAAAAAATATTTGTAGAAATTTGAAACTTTTTTACTAATAAATAATTAAAATTCATATACATTTAACTTAAAAAAAATAAAAAAAGATATTATGTACCTACAGAATTTTAGCCTGTCCACCGTTACTCTTAGGAGACTAGAAAAAAAATTATAAGCTATATATTAGTAAACTGTAATCACATATTACTATATATTATAAATTATTTATAAAATTATACCAATATTCTCCATTGACCTATTCTATTAGTCTATTATTGTATAGTCTCTTCTATTAGTTATATTTGTCAGTTGTAACATGACTATTAAGAACATAATCAACAAATAAAGTTACATACATTAATTATTTATTAAATTCTTATCAAACAGTAAAAGATATACCAAATTATTTATTTTTATTTATGTACTTTAATATTTGTTTTGCTTGATTTGCACACATAAAATTTGATACAACTTCTGGTGTTAAAAATGTTTGAATATACTTTGTGTATGTTGAACGAGATATATGACCTAAAATCATAATAAATAAAATATTTTATTCCAGCAACATTACATATTAAATAATCAATTTTAACTCTCTTCTCTTCAACCACAATCTCAAATTCATTATTAAAAAATCCACAAAATATTTATTCTAGCCGAAATGAATAACAACAGCAATTATTTTTGTGTTTAGATAGTGATGAATCAATTATTATTTTTTGTCAAATTATGATGCACCGATAAATTCACTAAAAATAAAGCTGTTTGATACTTTACAGAGTTAGAAGAAATATAGTGTCTTCATTAGAAAATATTTGAAATTAAAATGAAGTAATAGTATCAGTTATAGTTAACAATAATGATGAGTTATAAAATTAACTAGATATAATATGGATAACCATTTTTTCTAGTATTTCTGAATTAGTCATAATCAGGGCTAAGATTTGTATGCAATAAAAAATTGTAAAATATGCATTTTATTTACCAAAA